CAGGGAAGGAAGAGAGGCTGGCACAGAGCTGCGCTGGCTCTGTTCCTTGCCCATCCTCCTACCCACCGCCCTCTCCATCCCCCAGGTGGCTGGAGATGGCGGTGGCTGCAGGGTGCCTCTGCAGTGACATGGGCAGACCTAGGGCCTGGTGACATCAGAGGCTATGTGTAGGGAAAGATGTGGAGTTCGGGTTTGGAGAGGTGCCTGCACGGTGAAGGGAGTGGGTGAAGGGAGCAGGGGTTGGGCCAGGCCGAGATGGGGCAACACCACCCGCCTGGGTGCCTTTCCTGCTGTCTCCCGCTAGGTCCTGGCATGCTCACAGTGGAGAAGTGGGCGAGCTGAGGGTGCTTGCACAATACACCCAGAGACATGGGATTAAAAGAAAAAAGGAGGGAGGGAGATTTTGGGAGAGTCTGGATTGGGTTTGGGGGAAGGGAGAAGAGAGGGGCTTGGGCCCCACCCCCAAAATGGTTGATTTTCTAACTCTAAGCCAAACCTGAGAGGGATTAGAGAATCAGCCCGGGCCAGGAACAATCGTTAACGGACAGCAGGGAAAGGGCATGTCGAGTTCCTAGAAAGGCCAGAGGCTCAGGTAGGAAAGCACTAAGTGTGAAGAGCTCTGGGAGGGTTGCTAAAATGACACTCTGACAGCTGGCCCAAAGAGCAAGACAGTTACAAAAGACTGAGGGCCAAAAGGAACTTAGAAGTTCCTGAGAGGCACAGAAAGTCACCGTAAAAGAGAACAAAACCAATCCCCATATCTTGATGAGGATTGAGACGTTGCTATGTCCTGTTATCTAGAACTGCATCCACAGAGTTAACAGATTTTAACTCTATGTGCCTTTTCCTGACTTTTCTTGTTTGCACGGCATATACCCTCACTCCAAAGTTGTTTTGATCCCATGCCAGGGCTCTTAATAAATTGTAAACTTTTTTCTAACTCTTGCTTTATGAGACCATAAAATGGGGGAGAGGGGGCACAAGTCCAAGCTCAGAGAAAGTCTGCTTAAGGTATGCAAGAAAAAGCTGCGTAGTTAAGTGTGTGTACAGGTAATCTTTTTTTTCCACTTTTTTATGTGTATGAGTGTTTTGCCCATGTGTGTTAGAGCACCCAGATCGTGCAGTGCCTGCTGATGTCAGAAGAGGGTGTTGGATTCCCCTGGAACTGGAGTTACAGACAGCTGTTAGCCACTATGTGGGTGCTGGGAATCGAACCTGGGTCCTTCACAAGAGCAGCCAGTGCTCTTAACAGCTGCGCCGTCTCTCCAGCCCCTGGTCATCTTAATTTGCTACAATGTGCCATATATGATGTTTGGGTTCAACTATTGTTTAGGGAGATAAAATAAACAGTTAAGTAGGTATGAGAAAATTGTTGAGGAAGATTTAAGTGTGAGGCTCTGGGTTTTACATGATAAATAAGATTTGTCCTGAAAATGAAGAAAACAGAACTGTGGAGGCTATAGCCGAGTAGCACAAGGTTTGTGAGTGATGAGACTTATGGGAGATGCATGTTTGGTGGTTAAGTTCCTAAGGTTAGACTGATATACTCATGGTAACACAAAACTGACTCGAACAAAAATTGTTTATCTAATTAAGATAATTATTTGTGCTTCTGGTAACTTTGTTAAGCCTCAGCTGCTTGGGAAATTGACTAATGAAAAAACAATATTTATTTAAAACTGCTTAGACTGTTTTCTAAGCTGTAGCTAAACTTACACAGACGTTAAACACTATAAAACTGGTAAAGACATCCTTCTGCGCGCCCAACACAGCCTGGGCACCTACACAAATGAGGATAAAAGGCAAACACAGCATGTGTTGCTTGGCCCTCACCCTCCACGGCCAGCCCTGACCGAGGGGACAGTCAGGTCCCTTTCATAAGCTGCCTGTCCTTTTTTTTAAGGCAGGGTCTCTCTGTAGCACCAGGAGACCTACAGGTTGTCCTGTATCTCACAGAGATCCACTTACTGAGGGCCTCAGACTACGTGTGGTACAATACAAAACTTATAATTACCAGGCGTGGTGGCGCATGCCTTTAATCCCAGCACTCGGGAGGCAGAGGCAGGCGGATCTCTGTGAGTTCAAGGCCAGCCTGGTCTACATAGTGCGTTCCAGGACAGCTGGGGCTACAGGAAGACCCTATCTCTAAAAGACCAAAAAAATTTTTTTTATTTCAATTATATAATAAAGATAACAAAAGCATATGATTTCTTTTTTAAAATACTTTTTAAAAAATATTTTATTTATTTTATTTTATGTGTATGAGTGTATTGCCTGCATGTATGTGAATGCACTTGTGTCGTGCAATGCCTGTGGAGGTGAGAAGTGGGTGTTGGATCCCCTGGGACTGGAGTTATGGACAGTTGTTAGCTGCCATGTGGGTGCTGGGATTTGAACCTGGGTCTTCTGCAAGAATAACCAGTGTTCTTAACCGCTGAGCCATCTCTCCAGCCCCAAAATTAAGTTTTAAAAATTAACTAGTGCCACTCTTGGAGACACCCATGCCTATGTTCTTGGGTACATCTTACTGTTTTGAGGACTGTCTCAAGAATTTTTGCCCTGTGGTGAGTATTGGGGGTGACCAGGCAATGACTCCCCACTTCAAGGGTTAAGAGCACTAGCTGCTCTTGAAAAGGACCCAGGTTTGGTTCCCAGCACCCACATGGTAGCTAACAATCGTCCATAACTCCAGTTCCAGAGGCTCTGACACCCTTCTCTGACCTCTGTGGGCATTGCATGACACAGGTGCACTTACATACATGCAAACAGTACACTCAGACACATAAAATAAAAGTAATAAAATATTTTTTTTAATGTCTTTGTTGTGGCCGGGTGTGGTGGTGCAAGCCTTTAATCCCAGCACTTGGGATGCAGAGGCAGGTGGATCTTTGTAAATTCGAGGCCAGCCTGGTCTACATAGTGAGTTCCAGGACAGCTGGGGCTACAGGGAGACCCTGTCTCAAAAAGATTTTAAAAAAAAAGAAAAAAAGAAAAAAACATCTTTGTTGGCTGGACATGGTAGCATAAGCCTTTAGTTCCAGAATTCTGGAAGCAGAGGCAGGCAGATCTCCGTGAGATCAAGTCCAGCCTGGTCTACATAGCAAGTGGAGCAGGTGCCAGGCCATCTGGGACTACAGGAAGACCTTGTCTCAAAAAGAACAACAACAAAAAGTCTTTGTTAGGGGCTGGAGAGGTGGCTCAGTGGTTAGGTGGACTGGCTGCTCTTGTGGAATTCAGTTCCCAGCACTGGCAGCTAATAACCCTCCATAACCTAGTTCCTGAGACTCTGAGGCCCTTCTGATCTGCAGGCACTGTATGCATATGGTATGCTTACATACATGCAGGCAAAACACTTGTACACATAAAACAAATTTTAAAAGTTTTTTTTTAAATTTTTTTAAAAAATATTTTATTTTGCAACATACTGTTCCAAGGCCAAAAATGCCAAAAGTATTTGGGAGCTTGTGTCTAATCCTTAAAAGATTTTAGGGTTACCTCTTCAGAGGGGGGAATGTTGGAGGGGAGGGAGTGGGCATGGAGTTGATCAAAACACCTTATATGCATGTATGAAATTCTCAATAAAGTTTTTGTAAAAATTAAAAAATTTTTTTAAAATTTTTATGTGTATGTGTGTATTGTCTGCATGTACTACTCTTCCAGAGGACCCAAATTCATGTCCCAGTACCCATGTCAGGTGGCTCACAACTGCCTATAACTACAGGTCCCAGGGGTATCTAATGTCCTCTTGCCTCTGTGGGCACATGCACACATGTGGCAAACACACATGCATAGTTTCAAATAGTAAGTTAATATTTTTAATTTTTTATTTTATGTGTATGAGTGTATTGCCTGCAAGTGCACCTGTCCTGCAGTGCCCACACAGGTCAGGAGAGGGCGTCGGATCCCCTGGAACTGGAGTTATGGACAGTTGTTAGCTGCCATATGGGTGCTGGGAACAAGTCCTCTGCAAGAGCAGCTAGTGCTTTAACCCCTGAGCCAGCTCTCCAGTCCCCAACAGTTTTTATTTTTGAAATTAATAATTTATTTTTGTAAATGAAACTCTTAAGGTGGTTTATGCAGCGTATAGTTTAGATTTAAGATGGGTGGGGAGAGCTTGAAGAGGAAAAGTATGTGTCTGCATTTAAATGTTACTTGGTGTGCTTTAACATTGTAGTATAAATGTTACTCATTTTAGTAAACAGTTGGTATTCTGAGACGATGCTTGCAATATTGTGAGTTATACTGTGACTGTTTCCTAGGAGCTGTGAAGGAGAGAAACCATGCTACGGTTTCCCAGTAGAACACCTGACTGAAAGTGTTTGAACTCCTGCCCTTAATATGAATTTCCTTCCGGGGGGGGGGTTCTTGGGACATGTGAACACGGGTGCGGATAGTCGCATAGGATGCAATTTTGACTCCACCAATGTTTTTAACAGTTAATGGGGAGATGTATAAAAACCCGGTGGATGCCGGGCGTGGTGGCGCACTCCATCCCCTTAGCTTCCCCTGCCTCACCCAGGCCCAGGCCCTTTGCAGCACATCCTGGCTGGACAGGTCTACCCCCACCCCCACCCCCGCAGGCTGAAGGAGTCCACCCCCACCCCAGGGCTCGGGGCAGGAAGGCCTTGGTTAAGTAAGTGGCAGCACCCCAGACCCCTGCACTAGCAGGCCCTGAGCTCTCCAGGAGGCTATATGCACGGGGGCAAGGGGAGCAGCCGCGGAAAGTATGCGATCTGGGGTGTGAGGCGCAAACACCCGGAGGTCGCAGGAGGTGAAGGTCCCAGGGTACCCCAGGAGCGCCACGAGAGAAAACCCTGCACGTGCCCCCGCGGCACCTTTAAAGAGGGGGCAACACTGCGCATGCGCCGGAATGACATCACACACCTATTTACATACGGCTCGCGCGCTTGAACACCGCCCCGCGTCCCCCTCTGCGGCTTCTGATTGGACACCGCGCCTCCCGTAGTTGCCGGGCACCATTCTCACCCAATCGTAGCCCGTCTTGCTAGGGTGGGGCGGGGCCTAGAGCCGCGGCCAATGGCAGGTGGTTTTGTTGGCGGCCACGGCGGCGCAGCCCCGGAGCGAGCGAAGGCATCGGCGCCACTGCCGCAGGAGGCGCGAGGTGCGGCGCCGGCGGGTAACGGCGCGGCGGGTGGCCGGGGAGGGGCCGGGGCGGCGGGCAGGAGGGCGGCTGCTGGGGGGCTCAGCGCGGCGGCTCGGGGTTGGCGGGGCGGCTCTTCGTCCGCGGGTGGCGGGCGGCGTCCCCTCCGCCCCGCCCCGCCCCCGGCTGAAGGTCAGCGCGCTTTGTTCCCGCCGCGGCCTCCTGGGTTCGCACATGAAGTGGCGGCCCGCGCGAGGCGGGACGTGCCGGGCGGTTCCCTGCCAGGAGGGCCGCGAGTGTGCGGAGGATGGGACGTCCGCACGGACGGTGAGCTAGCGCGCGTGTCGGCGTGTCCGCCCCGGCTGCCCGTCCTGCTGCCGCTACGGGGCTGGGGTCCCCCTGGGGCGACGGCGGCTCCCCTGCACCCCCTCCACGTGCTGCCTTTTGGAGGGAGCTGTGCTGCAGCGTCCTGCACGCTGCCGCGGTGGGCTCACGGGAGTCTTCCCAAGTACCCGACGTGAAGTCCTTCGACCTCCCGAGCGAGGTGTCTGTAAAGTGCCCGCCGCCTTCCTGTGTAGTCACTACCGCTCCCCGACGGATCGCTGCCCACGACACACCGGGAGCTCTTCAAAGCGCTTGGCATCTGTTAACTCAGTCCATCTGGGAGGTGGAAGCAACAGGCTGGCGGGGGAGGGGGGGTCACTCACCCGAGACGCCTGGGTCCAGGGGGCATTTCAGATTTTTGGAATACTTGTAGGGTTGTCAGATGAGCACTCCCCATCTGGAAATGTGGAGCAGGAATGAAGCTGGAGAAGTGTTGGATATGGAGTGTTTCGGATCTTTGCACTAGGACCTGTATTTTTTTTCCTAACCACGGAGAAACAGGCCCTGTTGGGTGACGAGTGTTGGCTTGACCGTGGTAGCTTGGGTGCAGACCCGGCTGTTTCAGCTTGGCAGGGAAGGAGCGGAGCTAAAAGAGGAGCTACTAGGTTTTTACTGCGCTGTGCCTAACTGCGGCCTTGTCTCCCAGGGCTTGGGTTCACCTCAGGTTTGTTATCCCACAAAACGCTCGTTTCTTCCCCATGGTAGACTCCAGGGTTATTTCAGACTAGAACTAGCAGTTGCTGGTGGAGCAGGTACTGTACAGATGTGCTGTGAGGTTCAGGGGAAGGAGGGCAGTAACAGCCCTGAGGTACAGGCCCAAAGTTAGCAGGAGATGACTCAGGCCTGCAGGGAGCCTTGGGTCACCTGTCAGGTGGAGCTCATAGGTGAGGGAGCAGCAGATGAGTTTTCCCACTGTGGCCGCCTCCTCTTGCCTTGTCTGGGGCACAGGAGAGTGTTCTTTCAGAGTGTTTTTGTGTCTGTGGTGGGATAAGAAGTTTATTACAAGAGTTACTGAGGCCATGGGCAGGCCGACAGCCTGGTAGGAATAACTTGGACCACTTGCTGCCTTCCTTGTCAGGACCCTGCTGGCCAGGTGGGTTCAGCTTGTGAATGTAAATTGCTCTTGAGATTTACAGAGCTTGAAGCTAAAAATCACTTTGGTCCATAAAGATGTTAATATCTTACAAAATTATAACCCTCCCAAATCAGGGCCATTTTAAGGATGCTTCTCACTGTGTAATTTTGGGCATCATTTTAATGTTTCTGTCTCCAGTACTGTTACCAAAGAGTTGTGATCTGTTCATGGTCAACCAGTATTCTAGGTTCATGGTGTCTGCCTTTGTGTGTGCCCATGTGTCATAACATCTAAAGGCTTTTAAAAAACTTATCTTTAAATCTTGAACTGTTTTTCAAGATGAGCACAGAATAACTGGATAAATTGTTCAAAATCTTCATAATAGTTGATTTTTTTATCTTCTGGGTTAATAAACTTGATCACTGAAATTTCTGGAAAAGATATATTCATTTTAGGATGTTGACCTCTTAAAGCATGGCCCGTGGTGGTGGTGGTGGTGTGAGTTGGCTGCTTAGATGCAGGTTCATGAAGGATGTTGAGCACAGGGTTTACCAGGAGGTGGTGATGGTTCATACTTTTGTGGGAATGAAGTTCTCAGAGGTGGGTTAGCTCACCACTTGAGTCCCAGCTGGTCTGGAACCCTTAACTTCAAAACCAGTCTGGGCAACACAGCAGAAATGGCCTTCCTGTATGCAGGTCAGATTTTTTGGCAATGCCTTGTCAGAGCTTGTTTATTCCCTGTCAGCCATCTCTCTGCTGTGTGCAGTTTAAAACCTGTACAAAACTTTGTGTTGTATTTGTTAAAAACAAATTGAGCCAGGCATGATAGCACACACCTTTAATCCCAGCACTCCGGAGGCAGAAGCAGGCGGATCTATGTGAGTTCGAGGCCAGCCTGGTCTACACAGTGAGTTCCAGGACAGCTGGGGCTACAGGGAGACCCTGTCTCAAAAAGATTGAAAAAAAAAATTGAGAACCTAAAAACTTTTGTTTTAGGAGAAAAATACTTTCTGGGCAAGAATACTTCAAGTTCCCAAAGGCCTAAAGGGCAATCAACTGTCTGGAGTGCAGGCAGGTGCCTTTGCTACTGGGATCCAGGCCCTCAGTGATGAGCTGGGCCTGACAGGGCAGTGGCGTTTGGTTTGGCATTGCCAGCCAAAGGAGTTCCACCTTTTTTGTTTATTTAAAAGGAGGGTGCAAGTGGGTATACTGGTTTATGCCTGAAATCCCAGTTCTTGGGAGGCGGAGACAGGAGGATCTGTGTAAACTCAAGGCCAGCGGGGCTACATACAGCAAGACCTATCTTTTTTTTTTTTTTCTGTCTTTTTTGAGACAGGGTCTCCCTGTAGCTCCAGCTGGCCTGGTACTTCCTATGTATACCAGGCTGACCTTGAACTCACAGAGAGCTGCCTACCTCTGCCTCCCAAGTGTTGGGATTAAAGGAATGTGCCACCATGCCCAGCCCAAGTCTGGTACTTTTAATTACTGTGTGCCATGTAGATAAATCTTGGGCAAAGACCAATTGTTCTCAGATAAACCTTACCTAG